ATTCCTGCTCCACACGGGAGATCTGGTGGGTTGCAAAGGGGTTCAATGCTAATGGGAACAGTGGTAGGGCTGAATCGTTTGTGTCCTTCTCTGAGCATCTATGCCCTGAGCTTTGCATTATCCCAGCAATTTCTTGGGCAATGCATGCCCTACACCACTTAAATTCCTGGCAATTCTCTTTCATCTCCCCCTTGAAGGCTTTCTGCCATAAGCTCTCCAGTCCAGGAAGACACATTAAGAACCATTAGCCTCTGATCACCTACATGGAGCCACATGGGCGGGCCTTTACTACAGAGCTAGCCTGGGCTCTGGCACAGCTGTCAACCTCTGCGCACAAAAACTTTTCACCCATGTGAAGTGGTGCTTTCAACCCAGGTTAATGGCCTGGCTGGTTTGAGCTCAGGTGTAACTTTTACCTGGGCTGGTAACCCAGCCACTAGAACCCTGCAGGGTTAAACCACATGAATGTTGATGGGCTTCTAAGGCCTTCAAACCAGGGGCACAGAAGGACAAACCAGCTCTCCCACAATGAATTGGGAACCCACCAGAGTGGCTCCACTTAATGCAGCACAGGGATCCATGAGACATGTCCCAGAAGTCTAAACACCACATCTGGGTAAATGCTGTTCCAGTGAATATACAGTAACTTGGGTAGAGCTCTATGGTGTGGCTGCTCACACCCAGGCCAGGTTAACCCAGGAACTCAGACCTTGGTGCCCATCTCCCATGTTAATTCTGTGAGGAAGACATGCCGCATGGGTCATAGCTGCCTGGTCTTCTACTCTGTGGGCCCAGCTGTTAGCAGGAGACGCAATCTCGCACAGAAATCCAGCGTATTACAAAGACATGGCACATCGATCAGGTAGATGGTAGTTTGCTTCCTTTGAATGTAGTGTTTTACCTCTGCATCTCGCTCCTCCGTGGGGATACTGACAAAGTTTGTATCTGGAGATTCCACAGGAGTCGACTGCAGAGAGGACAAAAGAAAGCAGATGTCTTTACTTCCCGGCTGTGCCACACGTCAATGGGATGTGGAAGCTAACGCTGTCCGCCACCAGTGACCACTCCTATCTAGCTGGGAATGCAGACCCTGGTAGGATTCATGCTGTCTCTCAGAAAGGAGCAATTTCCCGCAAATGAAGGAAGGCTTGTTAACTGACCTATTCCCATGATTTGGCGCTGTGTGTTTATGTTAAAAAATATGGATGTCAAGAAAACCAGAGCTCAATGTTCCTTGAGCAAAAAAAAAAAAAGAAGAAATTATCATATGCTATTATAATTATGAATGTAATATTACAAAGACAAATGCATGTGTAACCCAAATAAAGGCTGATTTATATTAGAGTAACACCTAGAGGTCAAAACTGAAGTCAGTGGCCCATTGTGCAAGGCGCTGTACATATAAAGAGGTGAAACGTTCTCTGCCCTTGAAGAGCTCACTATCTAATTGGGCAAGACAGAGAAAGGGTTGGAGAGGAAGGAAAACAAAGGCACAAAGCACTGCAGTGATTTGTCCAATATCACTCAACAGATCAGTGACAGGATCCTGGTTTCCTGACCCCCATCCCAGTACCCTACTCACTGGGCCACACTGCCAAACATTGTTCCCGTCTTCTCTCACCTATATATGCATTGCGCCTGACTGTTACAAAGGAAAGCAAGGGAGAGAGGAAAGGGGAGGAAAGAAAGAAAGTGATCTCCCACCAGAAATGTTGATTTCTACCTATCACTATGAATGCAGACAGTTTTAACATGTTAAACCTTAACCCCTCTAACCTGAAACTACAACCATGTGCTTCAGTGCACCAGATAAGTATGCTCCAAGGACATTAACTCGCTAAATCATGGAGCATAGGTGTAACCACTCCAAGGTGGGAATCAGGCCCACTGGCTGAAAAGCCTGAGAGACTGAAGACTCCATTTTCAGAAAGTCAGTGCAACATCAGCCCCAAAATCTATTTTTGCAGATGGGGCCTGGGGCTGCCAGGTCACTTGGGGACTTCTAAAAATTCTACCCCATGTCTTAAAGCAGAATCCCAGTAGAAACACAGGAAAGTGCCTGGTTCTGTTCCATGTGCAGAAAGGAATTGCCTGGCTTCTACACAACTCAGCTGTTTAATCTGACAGCCTACTTAGGACAGCGATCAATGCCAGAGGCTGCTGATGTAGCTGCATTCTTGCTTACAAACCAATTCCCATCCTTCCCCCCAAATATTGGGCTATAGGGGGAATTTCTTGCTGGTCCCAAAAGAGGATCATCTTAAGGAGCTAACATGTCTTGCTTGACCTACCTCTCCTTCTGAAGGTATCCCACTGGCAGCAGCAGGGGATGGGAGCATATCCCCCTCTTCCTCTGTGCCAGGAGCAATGTAGGAGCCTGACATGGAAGACACAGTATCGGTGCTGAGCTGGGAGTGCTGACTTTGGGAGGAAGCCATGGACATGATGGACTGGGCTAGGCTGCTGCTGACAGGATCTAGGTAGGAAGAAAGAGGGGAGAATGCAGGGTGGCATTAGAGAGGGCAGAACAGTCTGGGCAGGGCTGGACTGCAAGGAACAGTGTGCGACAGGGCTTCTGAAGCCTGGTGCTGATGCCTACAAGCTGGAACCTTTCATCTCCATGCCCTGTGGCCCAGAGGCTACAGAGGAAGGAATTCCTCTTCAAACACAAAGAGTCTATGTGACCTTCTGAGGAACAAGCTGTGGCTGCATTCAATCTCTGCATCAAGTCTCTAACTCCTGGGCTTGATTCAGGGATCCCTGGGTAAGGGGCTCTGTCCTGGGTTCTTCAGGATGTCAAGTCAGGCAACCATAATAATCCCCTCTAGATTTCAGGCCAAATCCTATTCCACTGAATAGACACCCAAGCACAATCCTACCCTAGCCTGTTCAAATCACTGAAAAGCCATTAATACATATATTTTAGTAACACATCATATCAGTCTTATGATTAAGTCACAAAAAGCAGCAAAGAGAAGGACAATCCATCCACGTTTTGAGTTAATGGCTTTTCACGGACTTGAGGTCGGTTGAAATAGTATCAGACAGGCCCCCTAATAAGTGGAACAGGAGCCTATGAAACCTACAAATACTGGGGTTTTATCATTACATTATCATATTACCATTCTATCATATTATCTTTATATCATATTATCATTATATCAGCATGTAGCATATCATTATCATATTATCATTATATCAGCATGTAGCAACTCAAATCCTACTTACCTAATTCAGGCCAAACTTCCCATGTATCACATCCATAACTAAGGAGAGCAGTGAGCAGGATTAGACACGAGAACTTTGTCATCTAGTTCATCTTGTGAGATGCCATGTATTCACTGGGTGCTACCATCAGGACATGTGACCACAGTAATTTTCCATGTCCCTTCCAACCCAACATACCTTCCGGGGAGGAGATGGTAGAGGAGAGTGGGGTTCCTGTACATGAAGACTGGTCTATTGCTCCTGAGGAGGACAAGGTGAGGTTCTCACTGTCCGGGGTCACACCGCATTCCTGGAAGGAGAGTGAACACATTGGACTCAGAGGAAAACAAGTCCCTTGAGGGCCAGTCATGGTGGCTTTTCCATGCATTGCACCGTCCTGGGCAGGTTCTGAATTGGAAGCCCTGAAGAGGGAGGTCCTACATTTCTGGACCGTAAAGTAAAATGAGTGTCCTCACAATGTCCTGATAACATACACGTTCCCCAGGGAGAGGTCTCCAAGGGGGAAAGACTTTTTAAGTCTGCCATTCTACCACTGGTCTCGTTGATCAAACTGTCAATCAGTGCATCAATTATCAGGGGAATTTTCATGGTGTGCACACCAAAGGATGGTCAGACGGCAACAGCATCCAGTCAATAATGAACTGATGTAGATTTAATACCCTAGATTTTAAAGTGCATTGGAGAGTAGGAACTCATCCATGAGTGATCCTCAAGCTAGGAGGCCATGTATGGGACCATTTCCCACCAGCAGACGCCACCCCAGAACTTCATCCATTCAAGGGTATTGTCTGCACAGGAGAACAGGCCTGAGAAGCAGGAACTGTGGAGTGAAATCCCAGCTGTTTCACTGAGTTGCTGTGTGACCTTATGAAAGTCTCTTCTCTTTGTACCACAGTTGCCCAACCCACATAATGGATGGATACTGACCAATGTGACAGGATAACTGATTACTATTAAATAGCAGGGGCTCCGAGTAGGACCAATGCATGTCTTCTCCTTGGAAGGGACTGTGTTAAAAAATCAGCACCTTCCTACTTAGAAGAGCTGCCTTGCATAAATATTTGAGGTCCAATCTACTCAGATTTTGCTCCCTCTTGATGCTCTCAGCCCTGCAGAGCCAACAAGACCCCAGGACAGCAAGCAATGTCCTTCCCTGACTCTGCCAGCCAGAGAAATATTCTCTAAATCCTACCCGCAAGGTCACCTGGGCATCATCTTCCAATGATGCCCTCTGTGACATCATCTCAGCCCCCATGAAGACAACAGAGATATGTAGGGGTAACTTTGGAAGGACAGCATTGGGTCTGAAGACTCCCAGTGCAGGTGGTAATGCACAGGAAGAAGAGAATCTAGCCTGGGTCACAGATCTCACTAGGGGGAAAAACAAACCCCCCCCACACCCCTGACTTATAAGCAGAGCCTATTTTACATGGAATCACAGCGGGACAAACACCTGAAACTGCACAGTGCCAGATTTATAAAGCCTCAGCAGAAGGCCAGACCTGAGGTAGAAGCAAAACCCTTTGAAATGATCACCTCCTCATGCTGAAGAGGAGACTTCCTCCTGGAAATCCTGATCTCCGACTCACTGCAGGACTTCTCATCCTCTTCTTCATGCAGGACAGAGGAATTCTGGGATATCGACCTATGAAGGAGGGAAAACAAAAAAGACACCCCTGTTAATTTAAAGAATTTCCCCATGATTTAACCAGTGCATGCCACACCGAAAATATGCTGGCTGGAGCCCGACAGAAACCCCTGTTACAGACCCCTCCCCGTCTCCATCAGCCAGAAATAGCGGCCTTTATGAGGAAGGACTACTCTGGTCATGGGGAAAGTGTGTTAAAGCCTTTGTAGCTCAGGCCCATGTCAAGTGACTGGGACAACCTTGGAGCCAGACCAAATGGAAAGGCAACCTGTCTCCTGCCCCAGATATTTAAGTAGGCCAGTAAAACTACTCTCTCTGTTTTTGCCCCATTTTCTGCATTCTCCATCTGCTTTGCCATCTGGACCAAAAATCTAGCCACACTGACACCAATATAAATCCAGAGTGCTTCTTTGAAGCCAGTGGGCTTCTGATCCACTCCCACCAAACCCAACTGGGAGATGAGGGTGCCTAGTACCTCACAAACCCCTGGCCCTTGGCAAATCCCTGCCCTTTGTCAACAGCATCCACTGAAGCTTTTCTTCCTAGTGCCAAGTGTTCCTCTGGACCATCAGTACATCCCTGAGGACATACCAGGCAGCGTGGTGAGAGACAGGGGACAAGGTATGTTTGGCAGGAACAAGCAGTTAAGAAAGGACAGGGACAACATATCTGCTCAGAAGAGGTCCTATGGCCTGACTCAGATATGGCTGGAGTCAATGGAAAGTTCCCCATAGGCACCCATGGGAAGAGCATCAGTTCATTCAATGATACATGACTGGACTGGCCATGAGCTCAGTCCTGGAGTCTTTGCTCACACGCTGGAGGTTTGGAAGCCCCAGGACTACAGGACCAAACCCTCCCTGAGGAAACCCCTCTGTGACAGGTGGAAGAGCAACTGCTAACTCGTAGGAGGGACAGCAGTAGGATACTCACTTTGACAGACTCTTCTTGAGTTTTAGGCCTTGGCTGCTGCAGTCAGACAGGCGGTCAAGGGGGGACAGCGTCCTGATCGGAGGCATGTGGCTGTCGCTGCCATAGGAAGGCAGTATCCCTGACCCGTGACCATCACCCAGCACGTGAAGCGGAAGGGCTGCCGGGGAGGGAGTGAGGGGCCCATTGAGAGCTTCCAGCAGAGAGACCACCTCATATCCAGGAGGGATGTTCTCAGAAGACTGCAGGGAGCAGACAGGCCAGAGAACATGCAAACACCTCGTTTTTCAACAATACACCTTCTGCTGTTGGCAGAGAATGGCAAGGCAGTGCACTCCCCGAGGGGGACTTGAATGTAAACGGGGATTGCTGTAAAAGCCCAGAGCTGACACAGCTGATTAGAGGGAGGCCAAGAACAGTCAAGGTCTGGGCCAATTTCTAGCACACCCCCACAAAGCACCTGCAGCCATGATAATAATCCACTCCTCAGTCCCTGCTAGCTCAGTCCTGGATTTCCCACCACATGCCATGCACCTTGATCCTGGATATCAGACAGACTTGCCATTACCATTAGATCGGTGACAGGAATACACCTCTGTGTGCTACCACCCTGCTAGGGACCTGTGAGCCATTTCACATCACGGTGACTGTGCATTATAGCTCTAATTTCCCCAGTCGAGGCTTACCGAGTGTTCCTCTGAGTCTGACGTTTGGGAGGCAATGATGGGGTTGAAGCTGGTGGGAGACAAGGGGCCGAGTTTCTTCCTCATTGCACGGATCTGAAGCAAGGCTCTAAATGCTGCAAAGCAGTGGAGAGTGGGGAAGGAATCAAAATAAATGTCTAACGCAACAGAACAGGAGATTCCAAGAAGAATTCTTAGGTGTTTCCATAGAATTGATTTGACTTAATCTAGCCTCCGGGAAGCAAAACCCCGGGGATGTAAGTGGAAATGTCTGTGCTTGTCAAGCATTCAAGGCTTTGCACTTTATTGTAATTTTGTGAGAAACCTGCAAAATTTCAGCTTTTCTACTCTAAGCTATAGCATCATTGGTGGGGAAAAAAAATGACTGTTTTCACTCAGAATGGTCCCATTTTCAGGCAGGGAACACTGACATTTTCAACATTTTGAACTTTTGAAATTTGGGTCAGCCAAAAGTTTTTTGTCCCAGAACTTGCAAAAAAAAATCTAATCTGGACATTTTATGTACAGGCCTCAACATCTTCATATTTCATTGCGCATTGCAATAAAACAACACAATGAAATGGGGGATGATGAAGGATGAAAAGTGATGTTAAAGAGTTTTGTTCAAAGCTCCTTTTATCTTCAATCCTTGATTATGATGCCCATCTCAGGGCACCAGCATTTCTACTACAGCAAGAATCCTTGCTTGATTTCAAAATTTGCAATGAGCTCTGTTCCTAACCAACAGCTAAGAGCAACTGGCCTTTGTTTCCCAGGAACAGGCCAGTTATAGCCAACTCCAACCTTGCATACTGAGTCATTGCCCAAGTAGTTTAAATGAAGCCAAAGGCTTTCATGTTGGACCTAAGGGGCAAAATGGAAGATTGATTTCTCCAAATTGGAGAGTACGACTGCTCGGACAACGACCTCCAACCTCTCTAGGACTTGGTCCCCTTCCACCATACACTCCCCAAGTCTTACGCAGCCTGCAGATGGGGCAGTTGTTGGCCTGGTAACGCAATGTATCCGCACACGTGTTGCAGAGGCAGAGATGGCGGCAGGGTAAAATCAAGGTGTCCCGGACGTCTGAGAGGCAAACAACACATTCTGCGCTGTTATCGCTCACCTCGTCCTCAGCAACCTGGGCAGGAATGGCAAAGACATGTCTGAAACAGCTGGCATATCCATCCCATGGGCCAATTGCAGGAGTTGCCACGTTGCCCTTGGAATAGTAGCTATAGCAACCCAAGCTTGCAGGGCTCTGGAGGACTCCTGTTTTGCAGTGGGTCAATGGCCCATGGGGGTGGAGGCAGCTCACCTTATCCTTGTAATCTGTTACTCTCCAAACAGGCTGGGAGTCCCTGAGGTGCTGAGCTTGGGTCCCACCCCCAGTGCAGCTTCCTCCAAGTCTAGACCTGCACCAGTTTCACAGCATCTAGGACCCTTAGCAGTCATTAACTTACCCCTTTTGGTCATGATAAGCCATTTGATAGGAAGACCAGTGGAAAAGCAAGCCAGTGCTTTGACTTGTTACCCTCCAGACACCTGGATTCCAATCCTTAGGGAACATGAGTTTAAAGCTCTCTTCCTATAGCCTGCTGCTACTCTTGGTGGTGTGACTACTCTCATAGTCAAACCATCCTTTGCTATCTGCATTCAGGAGCCATCTGATATTGTATCAGACTGAGGGGAGAGTGACTGCCAGCTTTACTGCTGAGGAGATGAGGTAGGCCTGGAATTGCAACTGGTCTTGCCAGTCAGCATTGAGGGACACTGGCAGAACTGTATGGGGAGCCTAAGGCTGGAACACCAGAGTTACCTGGAGCCTGCCACGGAGACATAATAGCAGCTCTGAGTAAGGGAAGCTACTAGACAAGTCCCTTGCACTGTGCTATAAATCCCTGACTGCTGTGAATACTAAACATTTCCTATATTAAGTGAGAAGAGAAGAGGAAATCAAACAGAATTAGCACAAGGACTGTGTGTTTGAAAGGCATCTCTATTTCTAATCAAGGAGAAGGGCACTGAGGAGGGACTCTTTTAGGCCCTGCTCCCTGCTTTCCATTTCCAGGGAGCATCATCCTTACCTTGGAGTCCTGTGTGTTGTATTTGTTCTCGATCCCATAGATTTCCTGAAGGAGGTAACTAACGCCATCCACCTGGAGATGCCAATAGGGGAAGAGCACATGAGGACAGGACACAAGGCAATAGATTCAAATGACAGCAAAGGAGATTTAGATAAACTCTCAGGAAAACCTTCCTAATTGTCTGAACAAGTAGGACACCACAATAAGCTGCTCAGAGAAGCGGTGGAATCACATTCTTTGGAGGCTGCCAAGAGGCTGGAGCTATTTGGGATGATTTGGGAATATCACATCTTTCATTTGTGCAGTTGGACTAGATGACCCTTGATGTCCCTTCCATCCCAGTAATTCTAAGTGCAGAGTAAGCTGCATGCCTCTAAGCAAGCCTGTTTCAAATGCTCATGTGGGAAGGCTTCTTCCTAAGCTCTCTTCCCTACCAAGTATTTGAGTCCTCCCTCAGTCTCCCAAAGCTCTGTCCCACACAAGGAAGAGATTTTTCCTATGCCTGTTAACTCCATGCTGTGGAAAGAGTACCTCAGCCTACCAATGATCCTAACAGACTCACTGTTCCTCACAGATTCAAGTTCTTGTCCAGGTCAGCTCTGCTCAAAGCTGTCAGCAAGGAGCAGTGGACCTCCCTTCCTTAGCAACGTGTCAATACGAGCTAATCATAGTCCCAGGCACACTCACCACTTGTTTCTGCTTGAGAGGCTTCACACAAATGCTGCCATCTGCATGCTGAAATAAAAAAGTGGTGCCCAGAGTCAGCACAAAGCAACAAGAGACCTCAGAGGCAGCTCGGGAAACATTAGAGCTTTTATCTGGTATACAGTAATATCTATACTGAAGCACCTGGACACAATGGCCCACAGTGATCCACCAACTGAACTTCTATCAAGGTGGGTGCTTCTCCATGCATGCCTATCGATATAAAAATGGATGGGTAACATAGAAATCTATCACATAAAGGCAGATCTAGGGGTGGTTCAATGGACCAAAGTTTGTGGACAGAACTAGTGTCTCATACGCAGCATCTTGATCAATATTCAGGCAAACAAACAAGCAGCCAACATCCTTGGAGATGCTCAGTGACTTGGAAAAGTCAGGTATCTTGCACCCTCTGGGACTGGGTGCTTCCTTTCAGTTTCCATGTTTGGCACTTTTGCCCCATACATGCTGCTGTCCCATATACTCTGAAAAGACTGGGCTTAAATGGGCCACTTCACTCCAAAGGGAAGCAGGATGGAAACTCACCTTCTCAAATGTTGCTAGCAGCACGTGGCAGTGGCCGATGTGCTCTGCAAGACACAAATGGGATAGGGGTGAGAGGTAGAAGGGAAGATGACCTCTCCTGTTGGCATAGCTATGTCCATGTTTGAGGGGTTACTGGTATAGCTGTGTCAACTAAGGGACATGATGCTGCCATCCCTTTGGCCAAAGTAGCTAGGCCAGCAAACCTCTGTAGTGCAGACTAACCTTTGGCCCTTGCCCCAGCTCCCCTCAAGGAGAACCATAGTGAGCTGTGCTGGGCAAGGAGATTGCTTGCAGGGAAGTGCAGTGGGAGAAGCAGATGGGACCAGAGAGTGGCAAGCCTTTCAATTAATAGAAGACGTTAGGCTGCCCATAACCCAAAGACCATCAGGAGGACATAACTGAGTTCTCCTCAGCTCCTACAGATGGGAGATGACACAAGATCAGGGTGCGTTCATCTCCTGGCCTCTCACCCCAGCTGCCCTTTAAAGGTTTATATGTCAAGCAAAGCAGAGTGTTTCTTAGGGGTCAGGAAAATGCCTTTGAATAAAGGGGTCCTAGAAGCCTGGGCAGATGAAAGCAAATCCTGGGACTCTGGTGAGAACCTCATGGGATAAGGGAAAGGGCTCATGATCAGACACTGGGCACACGTGGCACACTCCTGTCTGTACTAGTGCGGCCTTGGCCTGCTGTCCCAGTGACAGCTGTACCCACATGCCAGAAACCATCCGTGTGCCCAGTGGAAGGCTGGATGCCTGCTGAGAGCCTTATCTGGGTTTGGTAAAGTGTAACCAGGTTATTGAATGACCTTTATCAAAGCGGAGGACAAATATTTAAAGGGCAAGACACGGTCCCCATTTGGAGCATGGGAGAACTGCATTTCTTTGTGCTCAGAAAGGGCAGCCTCCTCTGCTAGGACTATGAGAATCAGTGGTATGGGGCTACCGTAGTACGGTGGTGAATCAACAGAGCAAATACTACAAGGTGGGCACCAGCGTGGATACGGATTCCACCTGTCTCCACACAGAGCCAAATCCTGCCAAGGGCTAAGCCTGGTGACAGCCTACTGATTTCAGTGACAGAAGAAGGGGTTCAAAACCTCATAGGCTGAGTCACAGCCCAAGGCAGGTCCAGTCGGGACCACAAAGTCCATCACTGGGATAACACACCTACTAACACAGTGGTTTACTGGTTTTTAAATTTTCTAAAGTCACAGAACACTTTTGTATATCTTCTTCTGCCGTGGAACCCTGCTCCCAACCTGAAGACTGAAGTGGAGCCAGGCAACCCAGCCCAACAGTGGTGGTGCGCTGCCTCCTGGCCAGGACCAGATGAACGCATAGGCAAACTAGGCACATGCCAAGGGACCTGAGCTGCAGGGGGACCCTAGAACTTCCCTCCGCAGCGGTGGCATGAATGGCCCCATCTGCCTCCCTTCCCTTCCCTTCTCTTCCTCTCCCCTCCGCTGGCCTCGCTGCTGCGGTGGCTGCTTATTAGTGGTGGCTCTGAACCCCACTCCCCATGGGGGGCAGCACCAAAGTGGGGAGGAGGGTCTTGACTGGCTCGGGGCCCACAAGTTTGTTTGCCTAGGGCCCATTAAAGAGTTAATGCGGCCCTGCTCCCGACCTGCTCTGCCATTACTCCTGGGCTCTTTGCAAAATCCTTGATTACCTATCATGGAACCCAGTTTGAACACCACTGTACCTTCACATTTCTTTTCCTTTGATTTGGGCTGCTATGGGCCTGACCCAAAGTTTATTAGAATTAGAGGGAAGGTTTTGCTGACTGCAGTGAGCTTGGATGAAGCAGTGGAGAGCATGGCCAAAACACGGTCTTCTGGTTTGGCCAAAAACACCACCATTGTGAAATGTCATTTTGTCCCAAACTGGGAAGGAGAGGAGGGCCCTGTTACCTAGGGATCACAATGAGCCTACATGTCCTCTCTGCAGCAGGAACAAAGCAGACCTGCCCTTCCAAATCTGGGCTGGCTCTTAGCAGCAGAGGGGACAAGGTACATGAGTGAAACCTAGAAGCTCCTTGGCAAATAGCAGGGCGCCTTGTTGAAACACTGAGGCAGCCAGAGGACAAGCTGGGCTGGGCAGCATTGAAGTTTATCGGTGTCCTTTAAAGAAAACAAACTCCTTTTAATCCCAAGGGCAGGCTCCTACCGTCTCCCTCATCCACCACAGCATGCACCACCATGGGGTACACCTCCCGGTCCAGATCAAAGCCCAGCTGGAAGGAGACAGAGAGAGAGGAAAACAAGACATCAGGAAGAGGCTGGATCCTCTGCTACCAAAACTCAAAGTTACTCTATCGATTTCAACAGAGCCAAGTCAACTGACTCCAGCTTCACACTGATCTGTGCCACCGTGCCTGGTGGTATGAGTGGAACCACCCAGATTCCCACAAGTCAGTCACGGCATGGGGCGCCGAGACACGGCAGGGCAGGAAAGGCAGAATCCTGTCGCCAGAGTGGGCACTGCTCCCTCCTCAAGGACCTGCAGTTCATAGGATCATAGGAAAGCAGGGCTAGAAGGGATCTCACATGGTCATCTAGTTCAGCCCCCTCCTCAAGGCAGGATCATCCATGACTAACCCATCGTAGGCAAATGTCTGTCTAATCTGCTCTTGCAAATTCCCAGGGATGGAGAGTCCCAAATCCTTTAGGGCTAGGAACAGACATTGCATTTGTCCCTGAACAAGCTGCTCCTGTGTTTGTCTCAGAACAGAAATATCTCACACCACACTTCTAATTAGGGTTTAGTGAGTGGCTGAATGCACTGCTGCTTTTCTGCTATTGATTCAATGATGCAATCCCAGGATAATCAGTCAGACGCACTGTGCTCTGTTCCAGGATAAACTGTTAGTTTTTCCTATCCCTTGAACCTTTTTAGGATTAATCCCAGGACCATGGATGTCTCAATGACTGCACTTTGTATTGGGGTCAAATGGCTTATCCCAGGACAAATGCAACAAATTTAGCCTAGGCAGCCTGTTTCAAAGCTTAACCAGCCTCATAATCAGGAAGCTCTTCTGAATTTCCAGCCTAAATTTCCTTTGCTGCAGTCTGAGACCATTGCTGCTAGTCCAGTCCTCCACAGGCACAGCGAAAAGCCTATCTCCATCCTTTTTATAACCACCCTTCAGGCATTTGAAGACTGTTATCAAATCCCCCGCTCAGTCTTCTCTTCTGCAGACTGAATAACCCTAGCTCTTTCAGCCTGTCCTCCTAAGTCATGCTTCCCAGGCCTCTAATCATTTTTGTCACTCTCCACTGGACTCTTTCCGGTTGCTGGTGCCTGGAATATTTTAAAGTGTCAGTTTCAGTTCCATGCCTTGTTAAAGCTTCCTCATTTTTCACTGTGCATCCTACAGTGAAGAACACGCTGCTTCCCATTCCTTCATTGCAATAGGCTCAGAAACGTGCTGGCTACTTCTTGCTGATCCACCCTGTTTGGACATGACTCTCTCACTGTGGATCTAATGAGGATGGCATAGTTGCCAAGCCCCTGGATCAGTTAGCAGCTGAAAAGGCAGCTTCTAAAACCAGATTTTAATTTTCCTATTGAAAACAACGGCCAAAAAAAGCACAACCCCTATTTCAGCTATTCAAGTGCAATGGGATGAGAGCCCTGATCCATTCCAGGCTTTTGGAAATGCTCCCCTGAGCTCTTGAGATTTCAGGAGCTCTGAAGGGTTCCCCAGGACCCTACTGTGGCTTGTGGATTTTGACTGATGCTACTGAACATCTCAATCACTTGGCCATCCCTCCCTCTTCAGTCCTTCAGACTTCTGAGACTTGCTTTCCTCTCTGTGTGCCACTGCTGTCCACATCTCATTCACTTGTGTGCATGCTCTCTTTCCCTGGAATGCGCTGGGAGCTGCTCCAGAGCACAGCAGAGTGCATGCAAACCAATGGGAATCACCAGGTTAGGTCCAGGCAGGACCCTAGCTAGCTGGGTTGACTGAGAAGAGCTGGCAATCTGCTCCCAAATGGCTTCATGCCAGGCTTGGCTTACCTCCTCTTCTGTCCACTCTGACGGATCGACGGTGTGAGAGGGTAAACAGAACTGCTGGCATACCCCACGCTTATAATGGACCGTCTCCGACTGCAAGCTGTTGTCTTTGGGGATGTAACTGCCAAGCAGAGAGGAAGACACATCACTGCATTCTCACTATCCTTGTCTCAGTTTACCAGCTCTCCCCAGCAGGGAGCATGCTCTGAAACACCAGAGGAAGAGAAGCCACCCCTCACTCATTTTTTTATACAAAGCCTCGCTCTGACTTCAGTCCTGGTCAGCCCCCACTCAGGATGGCTGAGCCAGGGGGTTCTGTGACGTACACCAGCTATTTCAGGCCTGTTTTCAAACATCCCACCAGCCATCCAGGGCAGTGAAATATTAACATGCAACCTGTGCCCACAGCAAGGGGGTGATGCCCTGTCAAGGCTAACAGCTTACCCCAGTGGGGCAACCTGCTTAAATGGCTTCTACCTCGATTCAGGAAAACCTTCAAACTTCAAAACTTTCAACTGAGTCCATGCTCCCCTTCCCTCATGTGCTGTCAGCACAGACGGAAGAAGAACAAAACTTCTTCTCACATCTGCGAGGGAGTGGAAGGAAAAATGAGTGAGGCAGTTCCTGACTCTTTGCCTTGTTGGAGAGAAATAAAGATTCAGAGGTGCTGGACTGGTCAAGACTCCTGGAGGAGGGGCATGACAGACATAAGCCATCCAACCAGACCTAACCCTTGAATCCCAGGGCCTTGATACCTCTGCTAAGGAGCATACAGAACCCATCTCTGTCTTCCTTTGAGCAGCAGTTACTGACGGAGGGCCGTGGCTGTGAGGGAAGACATGCCACCAAGGGCAGGAGGAAAATCGTGCTCAACATTGGCGAGAGTATCCTCTCTTGTTGAAGGGTGAAGTACCCCAGCCTGTGCCTTCCCCAGACTTCTCACCTTGCTATTCCATTCTGGAATTCTTCAGTAGCTTGGTAATAGATGGTGATGGCCAACCGTGCATCAGTGTCAAACGTGAACTCCACATTGTAACGGACCTTGGCTTTGCTGACTTCCTCCCCAGGGGTCTTCACTTCCTCTGTACACCTGGAAAAGCAAGGGAGAAAAGGACTTCACTTGGATCCAAGATCCCATTCAACAACCTGTCCCCCCTCAGTGAAAAGTTGGGTTCAAGGTGACCCCTCAGAGGCAAAACTTCCCTTTAGAACTGGGAAAGCCAGAAGGGATGGAGCTCCAGTGAGCCACAAGCAGGACTGACACTCATCTGGCAATAAATCCTGGATGTCAGTAAGAACTGCAGACATCAGCACCCAAAGGACCACAATGGTGATGGAGCAATAACCCATAGTAATGCTGTATAGCAAAAGGACAGGGGAGTGAACAAACCCTCCCCACCTACCAATGAAAACCAGCTTTCCCTCTAGAAAAACTATCCCACCAGTGTCATGGAAGAAGCTTCTTTAGCAAGTGAGGAAGGCAAGAATCGACTTCAAAGGAGAGCTCTAGTCAGGAACCAAAAAGTTTAGAGGGCTATGAATGAAACCTCATGGGCAGCCCCTAGCTGCAGTCTTGCAAGCCAGAGCACAGCCATGCGGAGGGAACCCAGTATATTGCAACTGGGGACTTCAGCAAAGGACCTGTGGAGAGATGAGAGTTGGCATATTCTTGTTGGCAAGCAGAAAATGACTCCTGTTGGTGCCACTTACATGGCTGCTGTAGAAAAAGAAGTTTGAGTCCTAAAGATAGGCTCACTCATATTCTTAATGAAAATTTGGCCCTTCAGTTCTGGGAAACACAGAGGACATAAGAGCAGACAGTAGGATGGCATGGTGGCCAGGGAAATGACTAGAACTCCGACTGGGGTTCAGTCCCTGACACCGTCATTGACTTCTTGTGTTACCCTGGAGAAGTCGTTTAACTTTTTTTTTGTGCCTCAGTTCCCATTTGTCCAACAGGAATAACAGCACCACCTCACTTCTCCTCCCACAACCCCCCTGTGAGGTGAAGTACTGGACCATGCGGCGATGATACCATGTTAGTACCAAAGACAGGTGCAGGTGCCATGGGGCACGGTACTGATCTCAGTTTAGGTTGACTCTTAACATAAGCAGAGTTATACCACTGTACATGAGATCCAAGTCATGCCCCGTGTCCTTAGGAGAATTAATCACCGCCTTGCCCTCCCGCAGGTTGTCTGGTCCCCTCCTCTCCTCCTATGCTGAGCTCTCTGGAGCCTGTGCTAGGAGTCCAGCTCATTTCTGATTCATCAGTGAAGCTGTTTGCATTTTGACAAACAGGCTCTTTCACCATCGATTCCAAATTGCTCTTTTCCATCTCCAGCCAGATCACTGTTGTGCTGCTCCTGGGCGCTAGCACAGACAAATGGGAGAGGTGGCTGCACGGGAGGTAATAATCAATGGATGAACAGGCAAACACAGCAGCCAGAAGAAGAGCTGCGCACAGAGGACTTTGAACACCACCGGTTTTGCACAACACACCACACTGGGGAAATGGTTCTGAACATTTTTTGTCTGGAAATTTGCAATCTACCCTCTCAGTGGAGCAACTGAAAGCCAAGGCTGGCTCATAGCGCCTTCTCCCCAGTGCTTAGGCTCCTGACGAGTCATGCCCTGTAAAACCGAGAGGCACAAACACGCTAATCCTGTATTCACTCCAAGATGGAGCCAACAAATAGATGCTCTACTCTGCTGCCCTACAGCCCCTTTCATCTTTAGAGCTCAAAGCATGTCCCAGGCTCTGATGGACTAAGCTCTGACCCCCTCACCCCACTCCCCGCAGTGTGGCAGGTAACTGTTACAACCTGCACTGAAGCAGACAGGGAAAACTGAAGCACAAAAAAGGAGCTCTCTCTTCCAGAGGTCACAGGGCCAGTCAGTGGCAGAGCTGAAAATAGAAGTCAAGTTCCCGCTTCCATTAGTTTCCGCTAATGACTAGGTCACGCTTCTAGTTTTCCTCCTAATAAAGCCATTTGCTAAAGAAAACCAACTTCAAAGGCAGCATTAAGCTTCATTTAATCCTCCAGGTCTCAAGAGCGTGAGGGCAGAATATGGAAATGAGGACACATTTCCATTGCTCGCAAAGTGGGTTTCTAATCAGCATCGAAATCCTCATGCTCTGGGAATTAGGATGGAGGAGAGGGAAGCAAAAAGAGTCCATGAGAAAGCTATCATTGCTCCCCCCCTCCCCCTGCCAAATCAAAGGCTAATGGCTGCCAGTGCCACTGTTTCCATCTAAACTCAGCTTTTTGGCAGCCATAGGGTTAGAGGAGCTGCTGTCTTCTAGGCACTTCTTTGGTGTGCCCCTCTGGCACGTGAACATGGAAGGGCACACAGCAAAGGTTCATCCCCTGGCCCACGTCTGTCCTGCTTTCATGAGCATCATGCTCTGCTCCATGTGCCCAACTGTCAAGCTCACTTCTCCGTTTCCCTCACTCTTGCTCCTTTTCTTTTCCTTCTCTCCCTTTTGCTTTGCTCCTTCTCCTCTCTCCCTCCATTTTCCTAGAATGGGTATCCAGGGAGAGCACACCTATGTTAAAGCCTCCTACCTGGGTGCCCTATTCCATATTATCCACCATCACGTTCCCACGGTTGGGTCGGTGGGGGTGTCTCTTGCCACCCGGCCCATGTTTCACTGCTGTGCTACTGAGCTGGGGTAACAGCAAGCCCAAGGCCTTGTCTGAAACCACTTCCAAGGCTTCTGTGACTTGAGAAGCCAGGGAGGCATCAGATGCTCACGTTTTCAGATGCAATCGGTAGGCATGCAGAAGATGGTACGTGGCAATGGGGTCTGGCACGTACATGATTCGTTGGCACAACGCAACAGAGCATGTGCACTTTTGCAAGGTTCCAGCGGCCAGGAGGGACGCAGATGAAACCAGAAGGGAAGGGAAGGGAAAAGGGAACCTTTGTAGCTCATCTCGCAGAAAGGCTCACACCGGCCTTAGTAGGTCACTTCCTGCCTCTGGTCCTGAACTCTGCGTTGCTGTATGTCATTAGGTTCCAAGTGATGGCTCCCAGGCAGCAGCAGGAGCAGGATTAGCTCAGGCTCGTTCCTGCTGTCACCTCTAATGACCCTGCAGATCAACCAGGGAAGAGAAAAATCCAGGAGGCAGACAATCCTGGCGAATTCCTGACGTTAGGGGGCATCTCTGTGTGACAGCATGATGCAGCCAGTTGCAATTCATCATCAGTGGTTTCACTAAGAACATGAGGATCCCTATTTTAATGTGAGCTCTATACCTCTATGCACTAGTTTCCCTTCACCAACCAGGTCCCTTTCCAGCTCCGTGCTCACCTGGACAAGCAGGTAGGCACAGAGCTCCCCTTAGAGGTGGTTTAGGATACTGGCATACAGGTGGTACCACCACTGCTACTGTGATGCTGAACACTGGAATGTGGTTCCCAGTTCAGCCCGGCCCATACAACCTACCACTTCTGGGAATGTGGACTTACTTGACGAGGCGCAGGGTGTCTTTGCGGATGTTGATTAAGCTTCGGAGCGTCTTCACTGGCTCCTGGGGGGGCGGGGCAGCATACGGAAACTGGGGTTCAACAAGCAAAAGAGAGAGGCACAAATGAATGGAGTTTTACAAGATCTATCATACCACATTGAGCAAAAAACACCAACCACTTCTTCAACAGGAGACAGCCCCTGTGTTAAGTTAGGGAACCCCAGACTTCAATTCTGCCACCTCTGGCTTCACATCAGACGCCAGCATTGTCCCCCTCCCAAAAATGTTACGAGATTGGCTTAAAAGTCATGAGATGAAAAATATATAGTAATAAATGTAGGGGCTTTTTATTTGCCTTTTGGTTATCAGACTTCCCAAGTCCTTGTTTCCAGTTTTTTCCCCAGCCACAAGGCCCAGGCATTTGCCATATGTTCTTGCATATAACCCACACCTCCTTGCCCCCAAAAAACCCAGCTGCTTGAGACTGGAGCATGCTTTATATGCAAGGAAATACGGTAAGAGCTGTTTCTGCCACTTATGGGCTAAAAGCAAAAGGTAAAGTCTACCTGGGAAGCAGAACAAAGAGCTCAAGATCCCCAGCTGCTGTTACGCAACTACTTACTGCAAGAGCCTTTTTTTCCCCTTCATTATGCCTTTCAAAAACAATGTATTTTATTCCAGGGGGGGTCACATGTGAGAAAATATGGTATTCCAATTGGTACATGAAAGCAGAGCATCTCAGCCATCACATGCCTCTAGAGGCAGGGCTTTATGGAAAACCCACCAAATATCTCAAGATTGCAGATAACAGGATGAGACTTGGCTGCGTTCCCACACCTGACAGATTCTCCAGCAGAGCTCCCAACAGCTGCTGACACAGGGGACACAACACCGCGCTCTGTACCTGTGCCCCGTCCCATGATGGAACATCCTCCACCACCCATCACAGTGTGGAACCTAATCAACACGCCCCAAACTCTATCAACGGCACTGGCGTTGGAGCTGGTTGAGCAGGCCTGATCCTGCCTGGAGCTGTGCACTGTTTGTTCTCAGTGACTCCCTGGGAACAGAGAGCCCTCTGCACCTCACTGGACTGGGGCCTTTGCTCTATAATACCTCATTTGAGAGGAACATGCCAAAGCCCAGGGGAGCAGAACATGGCTCTAGAGTTTCGAGGTCTAATCCAGTCCAGGCAGGTCAAGATGAAGCAGCATCCCATGTTGGCCACACCATAGGCTGTTGCTCAGGATTGGGCCCCTGCTCCCCAGCTATCCAGCTCTGCATCACACACACCGACCCTATGGATGAATCTCAGTGTGCGTCACCACAGCAGCATCTGCAGTCCAGCTCCCAACATGCTTGATGCTAGGGAAAGGAGGAGAGCACCCAGGACTCACACCTCTGCATAGGCCATGGATTCTTCTGCAGGATTTTAATCCCCAACAGCCTTGTCCAAGTGGCCAGAGTGCTATCAGCTGACCTCGGGGAGCATGGTGGGGGAGAGGGAGGGGACTGCTTAATGGTTTGAGGGTCTTGGGAGCACAAGCATCCAGCATCCACTCCCAGGGCCCCCTCAGAGAGGTACCGAGTACTTCTCCCAAGATCAGGATCTCTGAGGACCAAGCTTTTAGCACATTTCCTGGTAGCATATCGCAGCCTCTGGCCTGCTGGAGACCATCAAGCATCTGCAGCAGAGCAGCTGAGACTGCATGCTCCCTGTGGATACAGAGATGCAGGTCAGGCCCCACAAAGGCAAGACTTCTCCAAAATCACCTGCTGCAGAAGAGCCCCCTGCCCCTCTTTCACAGTGGTCTAGCTGGCAGCAGCATCCAGCCTCCCTGCCTGCCCCCCAAGGCTATGTTGGCTTGGACAGATCAGGCTAGACTTTCCCCATGCTCACAACAGCTGAAAGTCATGTGTGCAGACCCTGGGCCTGCGTCCCACATGCCGGTCTGCAGGGTCTTGGCCTCTTCTCCACACCCCCTCACAGCAGCTTGATCTAGGGGGGGGAGGGTGTGCAGCTTGGGTAGGGACTTGAGCAAAGCAACCGAATGCATTTCATTCCCTGTTGTCTTTGCAAACCAGTCCAGTCAGCATGGAAGGAGGGACAGTCATCAAGGCAGCTACAGCCTCGCTTTGCAGAACAAAGCTCAGAACACCTTCAAGACAGGAAGAGAAGAGAACCTGGCATCCATCATTGCTCACCCCGCCCTTGGATACTCCCAGAAAGAGACAGGAGGATCAGTGCTCTTGGTTTGAAGGCATGAAAAGCTCCAGCATCAGCAGGAGCAGATTTACACTGATGTACCCAAGATCAGGCTCCAGGCTAAGCTAAGCTATCTCCACCACCTGTGATAGGAAGGGCTGCCAACCCCCGTCACGGCACCTGTGGGCACCAGATAATGGTCTATCCATCTTTGGCTTGATTGGGAAACGTCTCACTGCCAGCCAGGCTATTGTAGGTCCCGGCAATAACTCTAAGCAGACATGACACTGAGGCTCTATTCAGTTGTTTGCAATGCTCTGGGGTAGGAGGGAGAGGATAACCCTTTGGGCTGAAATTTCTCAGGCTTGTTTTTTTGCCTAAGAGGCAAAAAGGAGGACTGGGTAAAATCCCATCTGGTGAAGTACCCAGGAGGGGGAGAGGGGTGTTAATTGTTTAGGCTTCAGCAAATATTTCCAGTGTGCTCCGGAGACTCTGAATGGGATCATTTTTGAAAGCCATCCTCAAGAAGAGAGACAGCTGATGCCCCTTAGCAGCAACACCCAGTAAGAGCAGCACCTTAACAGAAAATATTTGCCCAGGGAGTATTACCTGTGTTATGCAATCAGATGACATGCCCGATAGCGGCTCATAGGGCCGTATGCATGTGTTGCATCTTATCAAGAATGAAGGCGTGGGGCATCTTTGTACTGAGTTTCCCCAGCCAGAAATAGCGCTGGTTGGCTTCAGAGTGAACTACATCCCAATCCTAAAGCATCTGAAATCTAAAGTGATCCCAAAATAGGCCGGTTGGGCCAGATTCTCATCTCAGCCAGGCTGTAGTAAGCCTGGGATAAGGGCCAAATCCTGGTCCCAGTGGATCCAACTGCAGTTTTGCCATCGATTCCAACTGAACCAAGGATTGGCCCGGACTTTGCTGACTGGACTGACATCCCTGCACCTACAATGCACCCACATTGCACGGCAACTGGTGGTTCTTGGCTTGGGGCCATCCCAACAACTCAACAGCCTTTCCCAGGCCTTACCAGCTCGCATTCCCTAGTAACGTAGTAACCTTATGGCGGGGCTGTTATCCTGACAAATGACAATGGCAAGCTCCGTCCCAGGTGCAGCACAGCTGGGGTTGTAGCTGCCGTGGAAACTGTTAAAGCTGAGGCTCTGCAAGCCAGCCACAGCCAGCCCAGTTGGTTGTGAACTCCCATGGAGGCGGCCGGTTTTTGCATTCGATTTCCAGTTCCTTTGATAGGGGGGTGGAGAAAACCTGCCGGCATTATCTTTGCAATCTTGGCTCCTCGCTCCAGACTCCTTGCTGGAGTTTAATGTGTCCAGCACACTAATGGTGGGTATTTTTAGACTGCTGATGCAGCAGAAAAACGCTGATGGATGAGGATTGGGGGGATGGTACTCATTCTCTGCCTGGCTGCTAGGGAATGAATACAGATTTGCCTATTTAACCAGCTGCGCCCCCGAGACGGATGGGATTATGGCTTTTGGGAGGGAGGGCGAAGAGAGGAAGAAATGGCATCTCCATTCCCCATGCTGGGAGGTGGTGACAAAGTGCTCTCCCACCTCGAAGAGACATTTCAATCAGGAGGGCGAGGGGAGGCGACACAAACAGGGAGCGTGGCAGCCCTTGCTCACAGCGAATCAGTGCTGGGGGGAGAATGAGGAAGGGGATAAGACAGATGCTGCAAGGGGCTCCAAGGTGACTTTGAGCAAAAAGGTGCTGCAGTCCTCGGTGGGCTGCCCCGATGTCATGTTAGGGACAGAGTGCAGAGATCGCAGCAAAGTGGGGACGGATCTTCCAGGTCTGAGGCTCTCAGGAGGCAACAGCATTACCAGATATTGAATCTGACTCAGGGATGCTTGAGCCTTTGCTGCAGACCTGGGGGCAGCTGTGCAAGGAGACCTGTCTGCTGTGTGATGCTGGAGCAGGGGATACTGTTCCTCTGCTCTCCTGTGAGGACACCACCTCCTCATGCCCCCAAGCTGCCCCGGCTGATGGGTTCCAAGTGTCCTTCTTATGCCACGTGCAGCTGCAGAGGGAACTATGTCTTCTAGCGTGCTCCCTTCATCCCCATGCCTTCTCTAGTGCAGGCCTGCTGCAGAGGGGTATAATCAGAAAGAGCACTGGGGGAAAAGCAGTGGGAACTGCATCTGCCTGGCACCCTGAAGGGACAATCTGAAAGCAACCAGGTATCATATGGAGGAGCAAATCAAGGCCTTGCACTTGGCAGGGGCATCTGTCATTCCCCAGCTCCATGGTGCCCCTCTGCATGATGCAGCTGTGACAGCCCAATCTCATTTTCCGGGACCTCGCTGGCTGGGTGTTCATGCTGCGAATTCTTCCAATTTCTCTCCAGCAAGCAGCAGGTTCCAATATAAATCAGAACCAAAAACAGTGGTAAAATGCTGGCTGGAGGCACAAGTAGATTCATCAGAGACAGCTTCTGTAGGGGTTTGTTAGGCCATAGCCAGGGCCTGCAGGTCTATTTAAATTCTTATAAAAATAATATCTATCGTAGCTGAATTGGAAGCAGTAGCACAACTAGGAGGGTAAGCTGGGGGAGTGCAAAACCAGTCCCCACTGTCCTGTTACTCCTCTGATTTGGAAGTAAATGTGGTATAAAGCAGGAGTAACTCCACTGCAAACCTGGTTTAAGTGCAAACAGAACCCGCTTCTTGGCTTCTTCAAAGGGTTTCTCTCTCAAAGTTGATCTCTTCCACCCACACACCTCCTTTCCCTTTAGTGCTGTGCTGCAGTTGTGTCTGGCTTCTTTTCTGCTGCCAAGACAATAGCATTGCACATATGGCCTTGACAATGCTCCGTCTGTTCTGAGGATAAGGCTGGGTGAAGGCAAACAAG